GGCTGCCTTAGGTCCCTCACTTGTTGGGAACCTTGCAGAAGCCTTCTTGGGAACCACATGGTGCCTCTGTTTACAGCGCTTCTGCCAGCCCGCACATCTTCCCCTCCCGAGACCCTGTCCTTGGAGACATCAGGCCGACACCCCGGAGCAGAGTGGCAGCACAGAACTGTATAAGGTATTGTTGGGAATTTCTAGTCCTCTATAGCTGGTGGTATTATGCATTACTGTATAATGTATTGCTGGGATTTGTAGCCCTCTATAGTTGATGGTATTCTGCATTGCTGTATAATGGTGCTCCACCACTGACTCCAAGCTGTAGAGGGACTACAAATCTCAGCCCAGAGAGGAGGTAAAGGGCCTTGGAACCTTCACACTGCCCCCAAACAACCTTATCCTTGCCCTAAAATCATCAGTCTGTATTGTTTTAGAAAAATTGTCATATGATATTAAAGAAAAGGTATCAGTAATTGGTATTGGGGAAGTACTGAAGAAAAATTATCGGTACTGGTACTCAATCTTGAAAAAATGATATCGGTGCATCCTTAACATGTATATATAAATATATTTGTTATGACTGCTGTATGAAGCCGACCTGCATTGACACTCACATTGTCTTAGTGGTGCAGGGCATGCTTGCCTGTGTGTCCCTGTCTCTCGCATTTATGCTGCCAAAAAAAAAATATATATATATATGCAGCATAATATTTGTTTTTCTAATGTATTCTGCCTATTAAAATGAGTAGTCTAACATACATCTTAGGGAAATGTATACACATGTAAAAACTGGCTGTTATCTTTAAACTATTTTATTGTCAGCCATAGCATTTAAAAAGTATCAAGACACTCCTTACCAGCCTATCAGGATATACTCCAGCTCGAAGCAGGGAGGCTTTCCAGCTATCTACTTCTTCCTGGGAGTCACAGGCCAGCTCCAGGCATCGGTAATCCTTGTACACATTCCTAAAAACCACAAAATTGAGAGAAGTAAGAAAGTCAAATAGGGATAAACTGTGAACATTTCCATGCAGTATTATGGCTTTTACATATCAGAAAAAATCAGATAGCAGTATCAACGTTTTCTACAAATTAGTGCTCTTAAAAAAATAATGTAATTCATTTGATAAAAAGGTTAAACCAATACAGCATCAGAAAAGAAAATTATTTTACTTACTAAAGCACGATTATTTAATCTACTATTTGCTAGAAATACAGAAATATAGGCGCTGATACAATCTTTCACATCCAACACTTCTGGGTGTGTATTGGAGTCTCCTGCTGTCCTCAGTGGCACCCCCTCTTCTCCCTGGCCACTATGTCACAGTGTATCTTCAGAGTTTTTAAAGGGCATGCTGGGGAAAGAGGGTCTACAACAGATAGTGAGGAGACACAGATATCCTACACACCTGAAATTGTCAGGTGCTGAAAATTCTAGCAACAACAAAATTGCAAAGACTGGATTCAACCAAGGCACTAATGGTAACAATTACAGTATGAGTTTATTTTACAATGGTGTATTTCATTAAACATTTTTTAAGAAACAAAAGTTACTCTTTCAAGACTTTATCCCATAGTATTACTATTTTCTTTATTTTAAGTCACCGACATATTACAAAGTGTTGTGAATTTCATAATATAAATAGCCTGAACAAGACATGAGACAAAATTAACTTAGAAATATGACAGTAGAAGAGAAGAGTACCTTGATGGGAGGATGCTAGAAACAATAGGTAAGGGATTTTGCAGTGGTGGCAGAGGATGGAAGGTTGTCACTTGATAATAATGGTTATTGTATACATAAGGAAACTTTGAGAAACTTTTTAAAAGTGTGAAAAGATAGGGCAAGAGTAGATGTACTGTAATCAAATGGAACTTAGAAATTCTAAAAGATGGAGGGTGTTCTAGACACTGTGGCCCCCTGCACTGTTAAATGCTCATTAAGTCTAGAGTGGAGATGATGAGGCAGTATTACTAACCCCACTCTGGCAGGCTCCAGCACTCTGCTCTTCTCTGTGACACTTTGGGCTGTGTGCAGTCCCTTTGCATCATTACATACGGCCATGGCAGCAAGCGCCTCCGAGAAGAGGCTTCGAAAAACCAAATACATGGAGGAACTCTCCCAGAGTGGGGAATAAGGTAAATATTACTACTTCTTATTCCTCTAACCGTACTCAAAAACGGGCATTGCAGTGTGTGGGTTATGGGGGCGGGGGCACTGCAAGGGTGAAAAAAAATCTGGGCAAACAGTTAAATACACAGTTGAAATATAATTTTGCTGTATTGTCTGTTAAAGGATTCGTAATTCTTGCAATTACAAACATTTACAAACATTTTCTATACTATGCAACCAGACAGGTGACATGTAGTCCCTGAGCAAATACTTTACATCTGAGTTAAAGGGTTATTAAACCCTTCATTTTTTTGCATATATCTACTGCTAGCAAGCATATGCAAAAACTTAAAAAAAGAATTAAAAAAAAACGTTTTAAAAAGGGTTAATACTTACCTGTGTCTTCCACGCTCGCTCCCGTCCGAAAATCTCAAGCATGTCGGGCGGCCGCAAAGAATTTTGGGGCGGGCGCATGCGCAGTTCAGATTTTAGTCCGGGAGATGAGGAGAGACACAAAGTAAGTCTATGGACTGCGTGCAGGAGTCAGCGCTGGATCGGAGACCCGCAGCAGCGCTGGAGAGAAGGCTGAAAACGTCAGGAAAGAAGAAGAAGATCGGATTAAGAGACATCATTTAGGTGAGTCCCTACACTAAACAAATGTTATCCTTTAATGTCACTTTAAGCATTTTAGTCAGTGTTCTATGTACCTATCCATCCCCAACCTCCTCATTGTACAGTAAATCAGCATCATCCCAATGAGGATGGACCTGGCCCAGGAAACAGAAATGCTGAATCAAAATCTAAAAAAAAAAATCTGAAAAAAAATTACAAATCCTGAGGCAGGTAAAACAGAAATATTGTATATGTACAGTATTTTAAATATGTAGTAAGCTGTTTGTATGTTGTTTCTCTTTATTAATGCAAAGAGCAAAATTATAGCTGATGGTTTCCATTTAGAAACAATCTTTATTTTATGTTCTTCTTATCTCTACTCTAAATGGTTCCACACCATTTCCAGCTCAACCACAATCTGGTGGTACTTGAGCAGAGGCAAAATATAAATTTTCACTACAAATTACACTACCAGCACATGTGTTACAAGAAATATAGTCTCTGTATGTAAAGCTAGCTGCACATGCTCACTTGCGCTACATGTATTGCTGTTAAAACCTGAAGGCGCTTACCTAAATTTTACTGCAGCTGCCAGGCTTAGCTTTGGGGCATCACAGAGTTTGCAAAGCGACAAGAGAAGCTTTCCTTAAAGTCAAGTTTAGTTACTGAGGTTTTTGTCATGTAAATTATGCCTAAGCAGTGCTGCATGCTTAGATAATTTCACCAAAGGAAACATCAATTTCACCAAAATCATTCCCCACATCCCTAATTCAGAGTAACTATTGTCCTCTTAGTTGGACCTTTAACACCCTATTTTCACTGCTTTTTGATGGATGATCTGAGAGCAGAGTTAAGGTTGTCCACATACTTTCCATTCCATGAAGTCAACCTTTACTAATAGGCAAAGTAATGGGTTCACTGTAAAGCAGGCTTTTAAAGCTGATTAAACTAGCTTTTCCTGTACTGCCCCATCACTGCAATCTGCTTGAGAAATTGCCATTATAGGAGAACAGATGTCACTCCTACTTCTTTCCATAATGCAGCCTTCTGTACTGTCACATGGGGCATGCAGGTACTTGTGGAGCCCCGTATGGTTTTTATTATTCAGTCAAGACGTGTACCGAAATCTCTGTGCACTCTGGAGGCATTGCAGGGGCAAATTACATATTTCCTTTAATAATGGCTTTAATAGTGCTCCAGTCCAAAGCAGGATTACCCCCAAGGCAAACTAGAAAGCAGCCTTAGCTCTGATTAGGGATGCACCAATACTGTTTTTTCGGTATCGAGTACCGATATTCTTTTTTCGGTACTTGGTGATATCTAATATCGATACTGGAAGTCCCATTAAGGAAGCCGGGTGGCGTGTAATGACTCGCTGCCTGGCTTCCTGATTAGCCGGGAAGATGGTTGGCGTTAATGACTCACCAGCATCCCAATTAGCCGGCCGGCTCTAACATTCTTATTGCTCCAATTAACATTGCATCAATCGATATCATACACTGACCCTATACTGACCGCATCAAGGTCACATCTCTTCATGAAATGTAGGAAATCATCCATATCAATACAATCTGCTTGCTATCAATAAGAACAAACCCACCGATAACTTCTCTGGACGTCACACAAACAGGATTACCCTCAGTCCTCAGGAAGATTCTGTCAACCACCAACTCAGCAGGACACCCATCATTAAGTGAGTGCCATTCTTTTTTTTATTATTGGACTGCCACATTCATTTTGAATAATTGGTACACAGCTATCAAATCATTACACAATCACTTTTTTCCCTCATGCCAATAAAACAATAAAAATGAAGTGGATTATCTGAGCCTACTGCAATCCTTATCAATGCTAATTGAAGTTATGGGGCTGGGTTGGTGGCAAGCTGCTATCTTGCCTAGGATTCCATTCTCCCTTAGTCCACCTCCTGGGGGAAGATTTGTCCCCAATTTTCCCCTTCACCTTTTCCTCACATGGCATTTCTATCATTTTTGATTCCACCTCACTTTTAGTCTCAGTGACAATTGCCATCAGTACAAAGATAGGGTGAATCTTCCCAATCACAGAGATAGCAATAAACAATTCACAGAGGGTCTAACCCTTTCAAAATGGAAAACGTTTTTGCTTTTACATACACTTTAAGGGTATTCCCATGTGGTGCTTGTCCAGAACTAGCTCCCTGGTCTTTATGATCTTGTTTGTTTAGATAAAGCCTTCCAGAAATAAATCTATTTATTTTCCAAGTGACACTTTATTGTACAATAGTGATCCAATCACCTAGGTCTAAGCTGTGGGGTTTGACAATTGTAGTGAAAAGTATTTGGAAGCAAAACCCTGCTCCTCTACCAAGATGCCCACCTCCACACAGTGCATAACAAGGCATGGTAAATCAGTAATAGGTATACTGGTGACTAGTCCTTTGCTCTCTGCTTACCTTTTGTGGGCATAACTTCCACAGTACAGGTCATTTTTAACAATACTGTCTTTATTTCCAAAGTTAGGAGGGTCAGGGCCAGGATCACCAGGAGACAGTAATAGGCATTCTATCTCTATTCAAAATGATGGAGAAGGAGGAGCTAAAGATAGCTTTTCCATGTGTGCATAACTATTAGTGACAAAGAAATCAGAAACAGATGTTTTGTTTCTGAAATCCTGTCGGGATAATTGTATATATCTTGGTTTAACGCACATACAGTGCTTTGTAGTGTTCTGCTTTTTCTTTATTTATATCCATAAAATGATATGCAAAGGATGACTGCCATGATTGAAATATGTTCTACTGCAGCTTGACAAAAAGAGCAACTTAGCAGTAACAGAAATCTGGGCTGTTTAGAGGGGAAGTAAAAAGAAGGGAGAATGATAGTCATATGCAATAATCAAAGGTCAATACAAACACATTCCCAAGGAAACCTTCTCAACCCCATGATTTCACAAACAGCTCAAGGTCAGCGCTTGTGATTGCAGGAAATAAGAGCTTTACCTCCAGCAGAACCAAAGCAAGGCAGCGAATCATGTTTAAAATACAACCAGGGTGATTATAATGATCAAAGTTTACCAAGACGCTCACAAGGCTAAGTCTGTTCTTTTCATGGAATTCCTAAACACCCACCGCAAAATACTAAATACTTTCTATACATTTTATTAACTCAGTTAAAGAGAAAAAAAATCATCTTAAAAAAACTCATTCATAAAGGTTCTTTACAGAGAACAGACAATCTGCCTTTAGGGCCGGTTCACACCA